TGGAAAACATGGCCCTGGTGATAGAAAAGATGCTGGAGACTACATGAGAGAATTTTGCAAGACCAATGACTTATTCGTTGCAAATTCATGTTTGCAACAACATAAACAGTGACTATACACATGGATCTAGTCAGAGGGAATAGATAGAAATGAGATTAACTATATCAGTGGAAAGAGGCTATGGAGAAGCTCATCATTCAGAAAAAGGCTAGGAGCTGACAGTGTGATGGACCATCAATTGCTCGTATTCAAATTCAACTGGAAGTTGAAGAAAATTAAAACAAGTCAACAAGAGCCAAAATATGACCTTGACTATATCTCTCCTGGATTTAGAAACCATCTGAAGAATAGATTTGATTGATTGAGTACCAAAGACAGAAGGCCAGATGAGTTGTGGGATGACATCAAGAACATCATACATGAAGAAAGCAGAATGTTATTTAAAATACAGGAAACAAAGACCAAAATGGCTGTCAGAAGAGATTCTGAAACTTGCTCTTGACCTGAGAGTAGCTAAAGGGAAAGGGAGAAATGATGAAGCAAAAAACTGAACAGATTATTTAAAAGGATGCTTTGAGAAGATAAAGTACTATAAATGAAATGTCCAAAGACCTGGAGTGAGAAAATCAAAATGGCAAAACATGCTTGGCATTTCTCAACCTGAAAGAACTGAAGAACAACTTCAAGCCTCATGTTGCAAAACTGAAGGATTCTATGTGCAAATTACTGACCCATACAAGACATATCAAAAGAGTATGAAAGGGATATTGAGAGTCACCATACCAAAAAGCACTGGTCAATATTCAATCATTTCAGCAGGTAGCATATGAAAAGAAATGATAGAATTGAAGGAAGGTATGCCATATAAAAATACAAAGTCTCTTGTCATCAAGAGCTGTGACCACTTTAGAATGAACCAGTTTGTTGTATGCTGAAGCAACTTTCTTGGTTAAGAAACCAATTTCTGACATAGAACTGTTGTTGTTGTTGATGTTATGAGCCATCGAATCAGGCCCAACTCATAGCGACCCCTCCTTGGGTTTCCGAGGCAGTATCACTATTGAAGTATATTGCCCAACCGTCCTTTTGAGGAGTGGCTGGTGGGTTTGAACTACCAGCCTTCTGGTTAGCAGACATAGAACTAGTAGTAATTAATTTGCAGATAATAAGATGTAAACATTAACCTCATGAATACAACTTAAGCTCCATTTAGCTATAGCTTTACTAAGCATGACAGTAGAGAAGGATGGCAACAATCATTGAGACTTAATGAACATTTGAAAAATAAGTACAAAGGCCTTTCCTTTATTGTGAGTATTGATATCGAGTCATTTATTGTGGTGGTTATGTTTGTGTGTCAACTTGGTTGGGCCTGGTTGAGTAGCTGGGGAGCTGATGATAGTTATTCCCCATGATGAAACGGGCAATCAACTCCATGATGGAATCTACCACAAGCAGCTGAGTAGCTGCTTTGTGTACGTGGTCTGCTTCCTGTATATAAGAAGCAGGTTTGGGAATGGTCTCTATTTTATGGCATGCTTGGACCCTGCATGTAGCCATGTTGTTCAGCAGCCTACTGGGGTCTGCCGACCTTGAGACTTACAGTGAACTTGAATAAATGGCCTGTCATGTGATTTGGTAACATTGGGACTCTGCCATTTTATTTGGCAACTTTTAACTTGTTAGCCTCAGCAGCCAGTAGCTGCCTGAGTGAAGAGATGCCTCTAGCTTCAGTGGGCCGGGAGCAAGAGGCAGAGCTGAAGCCCAAGGTTGAGGGGCTTTCACACAGCCCCTAGAGTCTGGCACTTTGAACTTGGACTTAAAGCCTCCAAACTATGAGACTAAACTCCTGTTTGTTAAGGCCATAGCATTTGTGGCATATTTCTTGTCAGAGCAGCACTTAGTAACCAGAACATTTACTTTCATGGATATCGTTAACTTTAATTGCATGATTTGTCAGCACTAAAATCATATACTTTTCTTCCCAATCTCAGTCCCATGGTGTTCTTTGTCTTTGTCAGAGCCTGATGTTGTTTTGAACAGAACAGCCCACCCTCCACCTCCCTGTTATAAGATTATGTTACTGCACTAGAGCACTGTAGTGTTTTTCATAATAAGCTTAGAAACTAAGGAGTGAAAACAGTAATTCAAACAGTTTTTTTCCAGCACCCATGTACTAGTTGGTCATATGGTGGTGGTTTGCATATGCTATCAAGTTGGATCTGAATCATAGGGACCCCTCCTTGGGTTTCCAAGGCTGTATCTCTGTGGAAGTAGACTGCCCAATCTTCCTTCTGAAGAGTAGCTGGTGGATTTGAACCACCAGCCTTTTGGTTAGCAGTCAAATGCCTTAAATACTATGCCACCAGAACTCCTGTTTTATGATATTGGAAGCTATGCTGGTATTTCAAATACCAGCAAGGTCACCCATGATGGACAGATTTCAATGGGACTTCCTAAATAAAATAGACTAGGAAGAAAGTTTTGTCTATCTACTTCTAAAACTTAGCCAATGGAATCCTTGTGAACAGTTAATCTAGGTCTTGGATGATATAAATTTGATTGAGCTTAAATATTACTTCCTTAAAAATCTTACCTTGGCATCCACATCACAATCCCAGCTTTAGCCATGTCCTCATTATACAGACACATAGTAACTTGAGTCTTTTTACATTGCTTCATTATTGTCACGGTTACTTGCTCCCCAGCCCTTGACTCATGGTGACACCATGAGCAACAGAAGAAAACACCAGCCAGTCCTACACCATCCTCACAATTGTTGTGATGCTTGAGTCCATTGTTGCAGCCATCGTGTCAATCCATCTCTTTGGGGGTCTTACTCCTTTTCACTGAATGTCTACTTTATTAGGCGTGATTATCTTCTCCAGAGACTGACCCTTCCTATAACATGCCCAAAGTACATGAGACAAAATCTCACTTTCCTCCATTTTAAAGGAGCATTCTGGCTGTACGTCTTCCAAGACAGATTTGTTCTTTCTTCTGGCAGACCATGATATATTCAATATTCTTTGCCAACACCACAATTCAAATGCATCAGTGTTTCCTTATTCATTATTTAGCTTTCATATGCATATGAGGTGATTGAAAATAACATGGTCTCAGTCAAAGACACCTTAACTGCAAGGTGACACTTTTGCTTTTCAGCACTTTAAGGAAGGTCTTGGCAGTAGATTTGACCAATGCAACACATCACTTGATTTCTTCAACACTTCATCTCTGGGTATTGATTGTGGATATAAGTAAAATGAAAACCTTTATAACTTCTATTTTTTTTCTCCATTTATCATGATATTTCTTACTGGTCTAGTAACGAGGATTTTGGTTTTCTTTAAGTACTTACTTCACAATATTTTACAGTACTTATGTTGCTTTTTTTCTTTCCTTTAATAGATAAGTCTTTGGATCATGACAATGGAGATACTGTCTAGGCTCAGGGGCAGACTTGTGAGGTTCAAATCTCAGTTCTGTCACCTACTTACTTGTACCTTGTTGTTGTTGTTGTTGTTATGTGCCATCGAATCAGGCGCGACTCATAGCGACCCCTCCTTGGGTTTCTGAGGCAGTATCGCTACGTAAGTAGATTGCCCCATCTTCCTTCCGAGGAGTGGCTGGTGGGTTTGAACAACCAGCCTTCTGGTTAGCAGTCAAGTGCCTTAGCCACCATGCTACCAAAGCTCTCTCGGATACGTTATTTAAACCTACAGTGCTTCAGTTCCTTCATCTATAAAATAATAATTATAATATTATCTACCACAAAAGATATTGCAAATAACACTGCCAATATAGGACACTGTGTATGGCACTCAATAGTTATTGTTATTTATAAATTACATTCTGCCTGGTGCATTACAAAAGCTTAATGAACATTTGCTGAGAAAATAAAAAGAAAGTAGACTTCAGGTTCTGGGTACAACCTGATGATTACCTCAGCCCTGTAGATAATTCCAGGAGTCCTTGCATGGTACAAATGACTAAGTGCTTGACTTCTAACTGAAAGTTTGGCAGTTGAAACTCTCCCAGATTCACCTCAGAAGAAAAACACCTGAAGATCTGTTTCAGAAAGGACACAGCCGTGAAAACCCTGTGTAACATTTCCACCCAGTACACATGGGGTGGCCATGAGTTGGAATCAACTGGAAGGTAACTATCTATTTATTTAATGTTTGGTAGATGATTTCTGGCCCTTGTCAATAGTGTCAACAGTAACAAGGGATAAGCATATGGTTGCCATTTTGACAGGGGATCCTGAAATTAATTACTCTTCTCAAAGATTAATTCTGTTTCATTGGTCTGTGTATCTGTCACCGTACCAGTACTTGGCAGTTTTAACTGCCATAGGTGTGTAGTAAGTTCTGATGTCATGAAGTGTGAGACCTCATACTTTATTTTTTGTTAACAATGATTTAGCTACATGTGTCATCTTTCCTTTCCATATAATATTGATATTAGTGTTTCCTTTTCATTAAAGAATGTAGTTGGAATTTGGATGAGTATTGCATTATATCTATGGATTAGTTTGGGTTGTGTTGAAGAACCAAAGTAATCTTAAACAGGAAGTGCATAATGCAACTAAATATAGCTGTGTCCCTGATACAATAGTGAACAGGAAAGTTTTCATACCACTCTCTTGGCCTCAGAATTTTGTCCTATGTATTTGCCAAAGGTTTTCTCCTTAATTTGTAAGATAGCAAATTTTTTAAAGTAACCTTTTTTCTCTTTTTAAAAGGAAAAAAGGTCTAAGTCTCATTTCCTTATGTACTGAGAAAAATAGAATTAAAATGTAAGCATTTTTTTAAATTTTTATTTAAAACAGGAAAATTACTTGTGTCTTTCATTCAGCTTCCAAAATTTCTCTTTTTGATTAATTCTAACTCCACAGAACCATTTTTTTTTTTTTACATTTTGGATAACTTTGCATCAAGAAAGAGAAGAATTCTTAAAGAATATGTTGAACTGACTACATCATTCATTGTGATAATTTATTGGCTATGCGTTGCTTTAGAAGTAGCAATGGTATGTTCAGAGGGAGCACACATTCTTATTCTACCTGTGGTTAACTTTTGACTAAAGAGATTTTTCATAGCATTTTTCATTTCAGAATTTCTCAGAGTATATATTAGAGGATTCAACATGGGAGTGATAACTGTAAAAACCACAGTCATGTATTTATCAATGGGAAAATTGGAAACAGGTCTAACATACAGAAAAATACAGGGCACAAAGAAAAATACAACCACTGTGATGTGGGAGCTGCAGGTAGAGAGAGCTTTACGCCTCCCTTCCTGACTGTGAGTCTTCAGGGATCTTAGGATGACCCCATAGGAGGTTAGTAGAAGAGAAAAGATTACCATACACATGGCTCCACCGTTGGCAACCACTGTGAGGCCTATAAAATAGGTGTCAGTGCAAGCAAGTTCCAATAATGGATACATGTCACAGATGAAGTGATCGATGACATTGGGGCCACAGAAGGGGAGGTTGTACACAAAGAGAAGTTGAACCAAAGAGTGCAAAAACCCACCAATCCAGGCCACCACCAGCAACAGAATGCAAACCTGTTGACTCATGATGGTCAAGTAGTGCAATGGCTTACAGATGGCCACATAGCGATCATAGGCCATTACCACCAGAAGAAAGACCTCAGCACCACCAAATAAGTGTTCTATAAAGAGCTGACCCATGCAAGCTCTGAAAGAAATAGACTTTTTATCACCGAGTAAGTCAATAATCATTTTTGGGGAAACAGCAGTGGAATAAACAGCATCCATCAGTGACAGATAGGCCAGGAAGAAGTACATGGGAGAGCCCAGTGAAGGGCTGACAATAACAGTCATGACAATGAGCAGGTTGCCCACCATCGTCACAATGTAGATGAGCAAAAACATGACAAATAATGCTTTTTCACTCTCAGGATCCTGAGTGAGTCCCAGGAGGACGAATTCTGTTACATTGTTACTCTGTCTCATTTACCCTGTATAAAGCCTGTTCCAGACATGAACATTCAGAAGAATAAGACCTGTAAGGAAATCATGAACACCACTATAATATGTCTATTATGTCATGGAAACCTTCATTATTAATCTTGCACAGTGATTATACATAATAAACATTTAGAAATATCTACTGAATTTCTCTTCCAGAGATCCTAGTATATCTTTCCTTGACAATTGTATTTCTTCTCAGATGACTGAATTGGGTATACAAATAAGAGATTTTATATATAT